TACTCTATATACCTCCATCACCTGTAAATACTACCTCAATGCGTGATTGTGTGTTGTATACTCTATAATCCTCCATTGCCTGTAAATACAGCCTCAATACTTCTATGTAGCTTGTATACTCTGTATACCTCCATCACCTGTAAATACTACCTCAATGCGTGATTGTGTGTTGTATACTCTATAATCCTCCATTGCCTGTAAATACAGCCTCAATACTTCAATGTAGCTTGTATACTCTATATACCTCCATCACCTGTAAATACTACCTCAATGCGTGATTGTGTGTTGTATACTCTATAATCCTCCATTATCTGTAAATACAGCCTCAATACTTCAATGTAGCTTGTATACTCTGTATACCTCCATCACCTGTAAATACTACCTCAATGCGTGATTGTGTGTTGTATACTCTATAATCCTCCATTATCTGTAAATACAGCCTCAATACTTCAATGTAGCTTGTATACTCTGTATACCTCCATCACCTGTAAATACTACCTCAATGCGTGATTGTGTGTTGTATACTCTATAATCCTCCATTGCCTGTAAATACAGCCTCAATACTTCTATGTAGCTTGTATACTCTGTATACCTCCATCACCTGTAAATACTACCTCGATGCGTGATTGTGTGTTGTATACTCTATAATCCTCCATTGCCTGTAAATACAGCCTCAATACTTCAATTTAGCTTGTATACTCTGTATACCTCCATCACCTGTAAATACTACCTCAATGCGTGATTGTGTGTTGTATACTCTATAATCCTCCATTGCCTGTAAATACAGCCTCAATACTTCTATGTAGCTTGTATACTCTGTATACCTCCATCACCTGTAAATACTACCTCAATGCGTGATTGTGTGTTGTATACTCTATAATCCTCCATTGCCTGTAAATACAGCCTCAATACTTCAATGTAGCTTGTATACTCTATATACCTCCATCACCTGTAAATACTACCTCAATGCGTGATTGTGTGTTGTATACTCTATAATCCTCCATTGCCTGTAAATACAGCCTCAATACTTCTATGTAGCTTGTATACTCTGTATACCTCCATCACCTGTAAATACTACCTCAATGCGTGATTGTGTGTTGTATACTCTATAATCCTCCATTATCTGTAAATACAGCCTCAATACTTCAATGTAGCTTGTATACTCTGTATACCTCCATCACCTGTAAATACTACCTCAATGCGTGATTGTGTGTTGTATACTCTATAATCCTCCATTGCCTGTAAATACAGCCTCAATACTTCTATGTAGCTTGTATACTCTGTATACCTCCATCACCTGTAAATACTACCTCGATGCGTGATTGTGTGTTGTATACTCTATAATCCTCCATTGCCTGTAAATACAGCCTCAATACTTCAATTTAGCTTGTATACTCTGTATACCTCCATCACCTGTAAATACTACCTCAATGCGTGATTGTGTGTTGTATACTCTATAATCCTCCATTGCCTGTAAATACAGCCTCAATACTTCTATGTAGCTTGTATACTCTGTATACCTCCATCACCTGTAAATACTACCTCAATGCGTGATTGTGTGTTGTATACTCTATAATCCTCCATTGCCTGTAAATACAGCCTCAATACTTCAATGTAGCTTGTATACTCTATATACCTCCATCACCTGTAAATACTACCTCAATGCGTGATTGTGTGTTGTATACTCTATAATCCTTCATTGTCTGTAAATACAGCCTCAATACTTCAATGTAGCTTGTATACTCTATATACCTCCATCACCTGTAAATACTACCTCAATGCGTGATTGTGTGTTGTATACTCTATAATCCTCCATTGCCTGTAAATACAGCCTCAATACTTCTATGTAGCTTGTATACTCTGTATACCTCCATCACCTGTAAATACTACCTCAATGCGTGATTGTGTGTTGTATAATCTATAATCCTCCATTGCCTGTAAATACAGCCTCAATACTTCAATGTAGCTTGTATACTCTATATACCTCCATCACCTGTAAATACTACCTCAATGCGTGATTGTGTGTTGTATACTCTATAATCCTCCATTATCTGTAAATACAGCCTCAATACTTCAATTTAGCTTGTATACTCTATATACCTCCATCACCTGTAAATACTACCTCAATGCGTGATTGTGTTTGTATACTCTATAATCCTCCATTATCTGTAAATACAGCCTCAATACTTCAATGTAGCTTGTATACTCTGTATACCTCCATCACCTGTAAATACTACCTCAATGCGTGATTGTGTGTTGTATACTCTATAATCCTCCATTGCCTGTAAATACAGCCTCAATACTTCTATGTAGCTTGTATACATACTCTGTATACCTCCATCACCTGTAAATACTACCTCGATGCGTGATTGTGTGTTGTATACTCTATAATCCTCCATTGCCTGTAAATACAGCCTCAATACTTCAATTTAGCTTGTATACTCTGTATACCTCCATCACCTGTAAATACTACCTCAATGCGTGATTGTGTGTTGTATACTCTATAATCCTCCATTGCCTGTAAATACAGCCTCAATACTTCTATGTAGCTTGTATACTCTGTATACCTCCATCACCTGTAAATACTACCTCAATGCGTGATTGTGTGTTGTATACTCTATAATCCTCCATTGCCTGTAAATATACAGCCTCAATACTTCTATGTAGCTTGTATACTCTATATACCTCCATCACCTGTAAATACTACCTCAATGCGTGATTGTGTGTTGTATACTCTATAATCCTCCATTATCTGTAAATACAGCCTCAATACTTCAATGTAGCTTGTATACTCTGTATACCTCCATCACCTGTAAATACTACCTCGATGCGTGATTGTGTGTTGTATACTCTATAATCCTCCATTATCTGTAAATACAGCCTCAATACTTCTATGTAGCTTGTATACTCTGTATACCTCCATCACCTGTAAATACTACCTCAATGCGTGATTGTGTGTTGTATACTCTATAATCCTCCATTGTCTGTAAATACAGCCTCAATACTTCAATGTAGCTTGTATACTCTGTATACCTCCATCACCTGTAAATACTACCTCGATGCGTGATTGTGTGTTGTATACTCTATAATCCTCCATTGTCTGTAAATACAGCCTCAATACTTCAATGTAGCTTGTATACTCTGTATACCTCCATCACCTGTAAATACTACCTCAATGCGTGATTGTGTGTTGTATACTCTATAATCCTCCATTGCCTGTAAATACAGCCTCAATACTTCAATGTAGCTTGTATACTCTGTATACCTCCATCACCTGTAAATACTACCTCGATGCGTGATTGTGTGTTGTATACTCTATAATCCTCCATTGTCTGTAAATACAGCCTCAATACTTCAATGTAGCTTGTATACTCTGTATACCTCCATCACCTGTAAATACTACCTCAATGCGTGATTGTGTGTTGTATACTCTATAATCCTCCATTGCCTGTAAATACAGCCTCAATACTTCAATGTAGTTTGTATACTCTGTATAACTCCATCACCTGTAAATACTACCTCAATGCGTGATTGTGTGTTGTATACACTATAATCCCCCATTGCCTGTAAATACAGCCTCAATACTTCAATGTAGCTTGTATACTCTGTATACCTCCATCACCTGTAAATACTACCTCAATGCGTGATTGTGTGTTGTATACTCTATAATCCTCCATTATCTGTAAATACAGCCTCAATACTTCAATTTAGCTTGTATACTCTATATACCTCCATCACCTGTAAATACTACCTCAATGCGTGATTGTGTGTTGTATACTCTATAATCCTCCATTATCTGTAAATACAGCCTCAGGGGCGGTGGGGTAGCCTAGTGGTTAAGATGTCTCGTCTTGGTGAACACGTGACCTGTGTGAGTTGGCCGTACGGAGTAGGTGGCGTTGTGAGGACCTGGAGTAGGATTGCTATAAATTCAAAAACTGAAATAGCATTTATAGATGTCAACAATTAAAGAAAGGTAACACATCTTCAGGATAGTCAGTGTATCAGACTGTGTGTGCTGCATGCACTACACTAATACATAAACAGAAGGAATCAATGTTAAGACGCTACTGTTTTAGAGACGGTGGGGGTAGCCTAGTGGTTAAAGTGTTCGCTGGTCACGCCGAAGACCCGAGTTCGATTCGCCACATGGTTACAATGTGTGAAGCCCATTTCTGGTGTCCCCCGCCGTGATGTTGCTGGAATATTGCTAAAAGCGGCGTAAAACCAAACTCATTCACTCATTAAATACTGCCTCAATACTTCAACGTGGCTTTTATGCACTATAATCTTCCACTACTTGTAATTACAGCCTCAATATTTCGCTGGCTTGCATACACCATATATTCCGTCATCGTCCATGAATGCATGTTGTCAGGCTGTATAGACCTATAAGAAATTAATTGTACGTTAACACTGATGATTTTGCAATTAAACACTCCCATTTAGCTCCCATTTTTACTTTAGGATAATTCAAGACATATATACATATAGTGTGTCCCGTGTCTGGATACTCCATACTTCAATCGTAAGAAACGTACCAGTAAATCTGTGGAATGTTAAAAATCTGACAGCTGAATGATCAAAGTTCCTTGCTGATTGTGTCCAAACTGCTGCACAGGCCGTCTGTTTGTTGTCGTAGCACTGTTTCTTTCTCTACACTTTCTTAGCAAAATGTTTTATGAGAAATTTAATTGCCTAGTTTACTGACAGGGCTACACATTATTTTTCTTTACAGCAATATGTGCAATATACTTCAAAGCTATTTTGCAACGTGCATAGGCCTTTTTTTACAGGGACACATGATAAGACTATCTATAGACTATGGAAAAGGAGGTGATTATTGCATAGGCGAGGAATTCTTGGTATTAAATATGTGTATGCCTCGTAGTCTTAACTCCGCCTTGAAGTTATATTGCTTTGCATGTCATGTTAGGGTGTCTGTTTTGATATTTTGATACCATACTTTTTATAAAGTTGATTTTCTTGTTATTTTTCAGATACCATTGGCCATCATTTGGACTTCTCGAAATGGTAATTGTCAAATCAAAGAGCGCGTATATATACGTTTAAATTTCTGAGATTGAATGGACATTAGACATACACTGCCGGACAAGAGTGAGTGAGTGAGTGAGTGAGTGAGTGAGTGAGTGAGTGAGTGAGTGAGTGAGTGAGTGAGTGAGTGAGTGAGTGAGTGAGTGAGTGAGTGAGAGTGGTGAGTGAGTGAGTGAGTGAGGAGGAGGAGTGAGTGAGTGAGTGAGTGAGGTGAGTGAGTGAGTGAGTGAGTGAGTGAGTGAGTGAGTGAGTGAGTGAGTGAGGAGGGAGGAGGAGGGAGGAGGAGGAGGAGGGAGGAGTGGTTTTACGCCACTTTTAGCAATATTCCAGCAGTATCAATACGGGGGCACAAGAAATGGGCTTCACATATTGTACCCATGTGGGGAAACGAACCCGGGTCTTCAGCGTGACGAACGGACGCTTTACCCGTTAGGGTACCTCACCGCAATCCGGACAAGAGAGAGATTACCCATGTTTGATGGAGGCTAAAAATGAAAGAAACAAACTGGTTATTTCATGGAAATGTTCTTGGTATTGATGTCACATTGGTGTTTGCCATGGATTTCACATCAGTGTTTGGGACCTTAAGTATGTGGTTTTCAGCCTAGCAACGTTTTTCGCTGCGAAAAGCTGCAAATTAAGTTATAACGCTGCGGGGTTAAGTTATTATCACTACTACAAGTAACGTTTGGAGGTTGGGTATTGGTTTGTCCTATAAAGTATTTCACTTGCCCGTCACTCTATATCGAGATTGATTGTGTAGAAGGCCACGGTATAGTGTGTGAGTGGTAGTAGCGTACTATAACGTTTCTGTGAAGTCCCGTGCTAAATCTAGTCCAAGGAAACACAGTCGTGCTAGTACTACCATATACGAAGCCTCTCTGTGAACATCGGGCAAACACAAACGTATGTTTTAGCACAGCCCTATAAACAGGTCTTCAAGATGACTTGCTTAACCATTTATTATCAAATCTACATATCGACATTCATTATGTATCTCACAGGTTCTCGTTTGTGATCACGCCCCAAGGCGAGATTCTCCACGTCTACCACCCTCCCGACGACGACGATGAAGCTGTTGCCATGAAGAAAGGAGCCGCCGCCATGTTCGCGTCTCGTCTCCACCACGCCACTGATGTAATAAGGGATTGCAATAAGTCTAGTCTCCCAGTGTTGAACTGAGCAACGTTCTCACAGACAGCATTCCCACTTCTCAATTCCTATAGTTTCATAGATGAATAGCAGTCTACAACTAAACCTAGTTAAGTCCTGGCGTCAAAACGTGGTGGGAATTCTCCCTTGATTTCAAAATATAGTATTCACAGAAACTATTGAGAAAGTTGTTTCGGCAAATACGTGATACATGTATATAAACTGTTACCAGTAGAAGTTTTACTCAAATGAATATGCTGAGATATGATTCCCTTACAGTCGAAGTGTCTTTTCAGTACTTTGTGATAACTCCTTGCCCTGCAATACACGACTGAATGCGCCTAGGTACACTACCGATCAAAGTTTGTGGGAAATCGTGTGGCAGCGTATCCCAATATTCTACCACTTCTTTCTTCATATCTTTTTCGGTTTATTCTGTTAATTCTGTCCCATATATTCCCAGTAGAGTCAAGATCTGGGTGCCGTTCCACTAACCGATCTTAGCCCTATGCCAATCGTAAACCCCTAAAATCCTAATCTTAGCGTGACGTTACGATCGGCATACCGTTCCACTAACCAATCTTACCTAAGTCAATCGTAAAGTTAAGATTCAAAGTCTAAGTTGCTCATGACCAACTTAGGATAGCTAAAATCAATCGTAGAGAAACCAAAATGGTGACTTTCCTATTCTTTGTGAAAAATAAGAGCGAGCATTTCACCGTAAGCGTCCCCTAAAGTCCCCCATGAAATGAATTTGTATATTTCTGTGATGTAAACAAACACTGCACTGAAGCCTTACAAATGTCAGGCCAGTCTGACCACTGTCGTCATGGGAACACAACCGAGCGAGTCGGTGTAACACATTTGTACAACAATATTGCAACGTCATGGTTAAGAATAACGACAGCCGTGAAGTGAACAATGTTCTGAAGCAAAAAGATACAAATATGTTTGATTTCACTGCGCATATTTGGTGTGGGATTCTAAAGACAGGCCGCGTGTTATTCAAGACCACTGACAGATTCTACATACGTTATATATAGCCTCGTCACGCCTTTTTTATTCTGATTGACAAGGTTCAGGCACATATTAAAAGCTCTGACACAATTGCCATTTTTAAAGTCCAGACTTAAAACCTGTTCTCAGTATATTACTTATAATCTCGGCTGTAAATATTCTCGTGTAAATTATCTGTACACAGCGCTTTGAGCATGCCCAAGGATGTGGAATAGGCGCACTATAAATATGCATTTATTATTATTATATTATGCTTGATACCCAGCGTTCTCACGCACTTGCACCTGAAACCAAGGTGCTCACTACCCTAATATTTTGCTCTAGGTTTTTTCTCCACGTTTACACTTGGTTGGAAAAATACCCATGAAGGCCCGGGTTAGAATACTTCAATAACCCATGCCTGTCGTAAGAGGCCACTAACGGGATCGGGTGGTCAGGCTCGCTGACTTGGTTGACACATGTCATCGGTTCCCAACTGCGCAGATCGATGCGCATGCTGTTGGTCACTGGATTGTCTAGGTTAGAGTCGATTATTTATAGCTAAGATACATAGCGTTCACTAACATGAACGCTCATGCTAGTGAACGCTATGCATCTTAGCTAGATTATTTACAGACCGCCGCCATATAGCTGGACTATTGCTGAGGGCAGCGTAAATCTAAACTCACTCACTCACTCAGTTGGTTCGTAAACTACTTCCATCATTTGCTAGACTATGCAAAGGGAGATAACTCGTGCCTCGCATTCCTCTATCTCTCGCACGAAAGAGTCTCGATCTAAGCTTGGATCGGATCGTAAGATCGGTTAGTGGAACGGGTGTAACTTTTAGCTAAGACGATTGTAAAATTGGCGTAACTTGCTAAGATTGATCTTAGTTAAGATCGGTTAGTGGAACGGCACCCTGGGCTGTAGCTGGGTCAGTCAAAAACTTTAGTCTAAAACACTGTTGTCTGAAAACCACTGTTTTGTGTAGCCCCCAGTACGTTTTAGGTCGTCATCATGCTGGAAAATCCAATTATCTTCATACAGTCTTCGGTCCGTTGGAAGGAGGTGACCAAGATGCCCCTGTCTATTGCTCAATCCCAACTCCTGACTGCGTATTCTTCAAAGTTCTGTATACTGTAGACAGAGGAATGTCATGTCTACCAGCTAACTTTTTTCCAATAATCACATTCCTTTCAAAATCATCTGGAACCAGCTTTCCTTTCTTTTCTCTTCTACTGTCACACCTGCAATGACAACAAAGGAAGCCGTCTGCGACACCTGGGGAGATAACTCTTGATGTAGTAAGGCTCATTCTTAAGCCAACAAGAGTTGGGAGAAACTATAGTCATCGAACATTTAACAATCAAACTTTAGTTGTGTTCAAAACTACGATATAAACTCCAAAAACCATTTCATTTCTATTTCGGTGAGTACTTTAGCACTGGTTGACACGTGTAGGCCATGGCTCCTCCACCACATCTGTCCACCTGTTAAATGCAGTTCCGCGCTAGTTCGTGTTGATGTCATTAGACACGATGTCTCCCATCCCGTCGTTGCAGATTCATCGCTGATCCAAACGCATCGCAAGCTCCCCAGGTTCCATACCTGTACTCTGTTGCACCATTGGACACGTCGTGTCGGTGTAGTCGTGTCAGGTCAGGTTCAACTTTTGGTCGATATGCTCGAATTCCCATTTTCTCTCAGATGATTTATGAAGGTTCGCTCGGACATTTTTCGAGGCACCTGTCCTCCATGATGAATTTGGTTTGACCTTTTATAGTCGATGTCTCTACCAATGTTTCCACCCCATAGAATCGAGTGGAAAACCTTTTCTGCATGGACTTTTCATGTTTCGTTTCTTTTTTTATGACAAACGCTTACAAACACATTTTGGGATGCGTTTGCTCTCAATACACAGGAACCATGACATGATTAACGAGATTCAAACATAGGAATTGTCTTAATGACGAATGCTGTCAAAATATATCGAAATGAACTGCTGAAAACGCCTGTGCGTTTTTGTTGCTGTTTTGTAAAGAGTGTATTGGGTAGCAAAGTGGATTTAAACTGTGAATTATATTATTTCGACCATGTGATTAATATTGATTATGGACTTAACGTCAACACCAGGGAACAACCAGTCTGGATTATTCGCCAAAACGGGTTCAATACAGCATAGAAGACAAAGTAGATGTGTACATATTACAATTTTTCTCTGGTTATGACTGCAGGCGTTGGCGCCTTGACTCGACATATATTTGGCTCTTTTCAGCAGTTCAGAAACAAATACATCTACACTGATTTGTAGTAATACCGACTACTAAAGATCAGTGCTATGGAGTGATGCTAGGAAAGAGACACACCACTTGGAAATGACAAATAATGCTCCTATCTACCTATAGTTTGTGAATCAAAGTTGTCTTATGTGCAGAGTTACGTCCCTTATACATTTCAGGATCCTCTGAACATCTTGGTCTGTCAGCACCATAATCCTGCTCGAGAAATTCACCAAACAGTTACGCATCTTCAAATATTGAACGCAGATAGCTGCGCTCAGTACCAAACGAATGTTTAATCATTCAAACTGTAGCTCATTGCACGTATCTAAATAGACAAGTGTTGTGTTTTCCGGAGCAGCAGGATGCATTTCCCAGAGTTACCTTCCTGTTGAATGTGTCGACTAGACAAGAATCGGGAAGGTGTAATGTTAGACATAACAACAAGTGTATTATCGTTTCCCGACGGTGTAGTGTGCAGTCTATGCTATGGTTGCCGGTTGACTCGATTTTTACAGGGAATAGATATTGTACTGATTATTACTGTTTAAGGAACAACACAACAAAATGTCTTTGGTTGTCTTTTCAGGGTCAGGTGTATGCAACTGACGACGGCTGGGGTTATCACGTGAGAGAAACTGGACATGAGGGTAAGGATCGGGGTAGGGTCTGAGACCGGGCAGGCATTGGGTGTCAGAGTTAGTATTGACGACTTGGGTGTCAGGGTTAGTATTGACGACTCTGGTGTCAGAGTAAGTATTGACGACTTGGATGTCAGAGTTAGTATTGGCAACTTGGGTGTCAGAGTTAGTATTGACGAATTGGGTGTCAGGGTTAGTATTGACGACTCTGGTGTCAGAGTAAGTATTGACGACTCTGGTGTCAGAGTAAGTATTGACGACTTGGATGTCAGAGTTAGTATTGGCAACTTGGGTGTCAGAGTTAGTATTGACGAATTGGGTGTCAGGGTTAGTATTGACGACTTGGGTGTCAGAGTTAGTATTGACGACTTGGGTGTCAGGGTTAGTATTGACGACTTGGGTGTCAGAGTAAGTATTGACGACTTGGGTGTCAGGGTTTGTATTGGCGACTTGGATGTCAGAGTTAGTATTGGCGACTTGGGTGTCAGAGTTAGTATTGACGACTTGGGTGTCAGGGATAGTATTGACGACTTGGGTGTCAGGGTTAGTATTGACGATTTGGATGTCAGAGTTAGTATTGGCGACGTGGGTGTCAGAGTAAGTATTGACGACTTGGGTGTCAGGGTTTGTATTGGCGACTTGGATGTCAGAGTTAGCATTGACGACTTGAGTGTCAGGGTTAGTATTGACGACTTGGGTGTCAGGGTTTGTATTGGCGACTTGGATGTCAGAGTGAGTATTGGCAACTTGGGTGTCAGAGTTAGTATTGACGAATTGGGTGTCAGGGTTTGTATTGACGAATTGGGTGTCAGGGTTAGTATTGACGACTTGGGTGTCAGGGTAAGTATTGACGACTTGGATGTCAGAGTTAGTATTGGCGACTTGGGTCTCAGAGTAAGTATTGACGAATTGGGTGTCAGGGTTTGTATTGACGAATTGGGTGTCAGGGTTAGTATTGACGACTTGGGTGTCAGGGTTAGTATTGACGACTTGGATGTCAGAGTAAGTATTGGCGACGTGGGTGTCAGAGTAAGTATTGACGAATTGGGTGTCAGGGTTAGTATTGACAACTTGGGTGTCAGGGTTAGTATTGGCGACGTGGATGTCAGGGTTAGTATTGACGACTTGGGTGTCAGAGTTAGTATTGACGACTTGGGTGTCAGGGTTAGTATTGACGACTTGGGTGTCAGAGTAAGTATTGACGACTTGGGTGTCAGGGTTTGTATTGGCGACTTGGATGTCAGAGTTAGTATTGGCGACTTGGGTGTCAGAGTTAGTATTGACGACTTGGGTGTCAGGGATAGTATTGACGACTTGGGTGTCAGGGTTAGTATTGACGATTTGGATGTCAGAGTTAGTATTGGCGACTTGGGTGTCAGAGTAAGTATTGACGACTTGGGTGTCAGGGTTTGTATTGGCGACTTGGATGTCAGAGTTAGCATTGACGACTTGAGTGTCAGGGTTAGTATTGACGACTTGGGTGTCAGGGTTTGTATTGGCGACTTGGATGTCAGAGTGAGTATTGGCAACTTGGGTGTCAGAGTTAGTATTGACGAATTGGGTGTCAGGGTTTGTATTGACGAATTGGGTGTCAGGGTTAGTATTGACGACTTGGGTGTCAGGGTAAGTATTGACGACTTGGATGTCAGAGTTAGTATTGGCGACTTGGGTCTCAGAGTAAGTATTGACGAATTGGGTGTCAGGGTTTGTATTGACGAATTGGGTGTCAGGGTTAGTATTGACGACTTGGGTGTCAGGGTTAGTATTGACGACTTGGATGTCAGAGTTAGTATTGGCGACGTGGGTGTCAGAGTAAGTATTGACGAATTGGGTGTCAGGGTTAGTATTGACAACTTGGGTGTCAGGGTTAGTATTGGCGACTTGGATGTCAGGGTTAGTATTGACAACTTGGATGTCAGGGTTAGTATTGACGACGTGGATGTCAGGGTTAGTATTGGCAACTTGGGTGTCAGGGTTAGTATTCACAACTTGGATGTCAGAGTAAGTATCGACAACTTGGGTGTCAGAGTAAGTATTGACGACTTGGGTGTCAGGGTTTGTATTTGCGACTTGGATGTCAGAGTTAGTATTGACGACTTGGGTGTCAGGGTTCGTATTGACAACTTGGGTGTCAGGGTTAGTATTGACAACTTGGGTGTCAGGGTTAGCATTGAAGACTTGGGTGTCAGAGTTAGTATTGACGACTTGGATGTCAGAGTTAGTATTGGCGACTTGGGTGTCAGAGTAAGTATTGACGAATTGGGTGTCAGGGTTTGTATTGGCGACTTGGATGTCAGGGTTAATATTGACGACTTGGGTGTCAGGGTTTGTATTGACAACTTGGGTGTCAGGGATAGTATTGACAACTTGGCTGTCAGAGTTAGCATTGACGACTTGGGTGTCAGGGTTAGTATTGACGACTTGGGTGTCAGGGTTTGTATTGGCGACTTGGATGTCAGAGTTAGTATTGGCGACTTGGGTGTCAGAGTTAGTATTGACGAATTGGGTGTAAGAGTTTGTATTGACGAATTGGGTGTCAGGGTTAGTATTGACGACTTGGGTGTCAGAGTTAGTATTGACGACTTGGATGTCAGAGTTAGTATTTGCAACTTGGGTGTCAGAGTAAGTATTGACGACTTGGGTGTCAGGGTTTGTATTGACGAATTGGGTGTCAGGGTTAGTATTGACGACTTGGGTGTCAGGGTTAGTATTGACGACTTGGATGTCAGAGTTAGTATTGGCGACTTGGGTGTCAGAGTTAGTATTGGCGACTTGGGTGTCAGAGTAAGTATTGACGAATTGGGTGTCAGGGTTAGTATTGACAACTTGGGTGTCAGGGTTAGTATTGGCTACTTGGATGTCAGGGTTAGTATTGACAACTTGGATGTCAGGGTTAGCATTGACGACTTGGATGTCAGAGTTAGTATTGGCAACTTGGATGTCAGGGTTAGTATTGACGACTTGGGTGTCAGGGTTAGTATTGACGACTTGGATGTCAGGGTTAGCATTGACGACTTGGATGTCAGAGTTAGTATTGGCAACTTGGGTGTCAGGGTTAGTATTGACGACTTGGGTGTCAGGGTTAGTATTGGCAACGTGGATGTCAGGGTTAGTATTGACGACTTGGGTGTCAGGGTTTGTATTGGCGACTTGGATGTCTGAGTTAGTTTTGACAACTCGGCTGTCGGTGTTAGTATTGACGACTTGGGTGTCAGGGCTAGCATTGACAACTTGGGTGTCAGGGTTAGTATTGGCGACTTGGATGTCAGAGTAAGTATTGACGAATTGGGTGTCAGAGTAAGTATTGACGACTTGGGTGTCAGGGTTAGTATTGGCTACTTGGATGTCAGGGTTAGTATTGACAACTTGGGTGTCAGGGTTAGTATTGACGACTTGGGTGTCAGGGTTAGTATTGACGACTTGGATGTCAGGGTTAGCATTGACGACTTGGATGTCAGAGTTAGTATTGGCAACTTGGGTGTCAGGGTTTGTATTGACGACTTGGGTGTCAGGGTTAGTATTGGCAACGTGGATGTCAGGGTTAGTAGTGACGACTTGTGTGTCAGGGTTTGTATTGGCGACTTGGATGTCAGAGTTAGTATTGACAACTCGGCTGTCGGTGTTAGTATTGACGACTTGGGTGTCAGGGCTAGCATTGACAACTTGGGTGTCAGGGTAAGTATTGACGACTTGGATGTCAGAGTTAGTATTGGCGACTTGGGTGTCAGAGTAAGTATTGACGAATTGGGTGTCAGGGTTAGTATTGACGACTCTGGTGTCAGAGTAAGTATTGACGACTCTGGTGTCAGAGTAAGTATTGACGACTTGGATGTCAGAGTTAGTATTGGCAACTTGGGTGTCAGAGTTAGTATTGACGAATTGGGTGTCAGGGTTAGTATTGACGACTTGGGTGTCAGAGTTAGTATTGACGACTTGGGTGTCAGGGTTAGTATTGACGACTTGGGTGTCAGAGTAAGTATTGACGACTTGGGTGTCAGGGTTTGTATTGGCGACTTGGATGTCAGAGTTAGTATTGGCGACTTGGGTGTCAGAGTTAGTATTGACGACTTGGGTGTCAGGGATAGTATTGACGACTTGGGTGTCAGGGTTAGTATTGACGATTTGGATGTCAGAGTTAGTATTGGCGACGTGGGTGTCAGAGTAAGTATTGACGACTTGGGTGTCAGGAGTTTGTATTGGCGACTTGGATGTCAGAGTTAGCATTGACGACTTGAGTGTCAGGGTTAGTATTGACGACTTGGGTGTCAGGGTTTGTATTGGCGACTTGGATGTCAGAGTGAGTATTGGCAACTTGGGTGTCAGAGTTAGTATTGACGAATTGGGTGTCAGGGTTTGTATTGACGAATTGGGTGTCAGGGTTAGTATTGACGACTTGGGTGTCAGGGTAAGTATTGACGACTTGGATGTCAGAGTTAGTATTGGCGACTTAGGTCTCAGAGTAAGTATTGACGAATTGGGTGTCAGGGTTTGTATTGACGAATTGGGTGTCAGGGTTAGTATTGACGACTTGGGTGTCAGGGTTAGTATTGACGACTTGGATGTCAGAGTTAGTATTGGCGACGTGGGTGTCAGAGTAAGTATTGACGAATTGGGTGTCAGGGTTAGTATTGACAAGTTGGGTGTCAGGGTTAGTATTGGCGACTTGGATGTCAGGGTTAGTATTGACAACTTGGATGTCAGGGTTAGCATTGACGACTTGTATGTCAGGGTTAGTATTGGCAACTTGGGTGTCAGGGTTAGTATTCACAACTTGGATGTCAGAGTAAGTATTGACAACTTGGGTGTCAGAGTAAGTATTGACGACTTGGGTGTCAGGGTTTGTATTGCGACTTGGATGTCAGAGTTAGTATTGACGACTTGGGTGTCAGGGTTCGTATTGACAACTTGGGTGTCAGGGTTAGTATTGACAACTTGGGTGTCAGGGTTAGCATTGAAGACTTGGGTGTCAGAGTTAGTATTGACGACTTGGATGTCAGAGTTAGTATTGG